CATTCAGAACTCTGCAGCTCATGTACTGTCCCGCACCAGACACCGCGACCACATCACTCCCCCCCTCACCCTCACCCTCTCCCTCACCCCCACTCCCACCCTCGCCCTCGCCCTCACTCCCACCCTCGCCCTCGCCCTCACTCCCACCCTCGCCCTCACCCTCGCTCGCCTCCACTGGCTCCCCATCCCCCAGAGGATCAAATTCAAGATCCACGCTATCCTCCTCCACCGCTTGTCCTCCCACCTCAACCTTCAAATTCACCCTCACCTACACGGCCATTCACGGCCTCGCTCCCTCCTACCTCTCCGACCTACTATCCCCCCACGTACCCCCCGTACCCTCCGTCCCTCTGGCTCCGGTCGGCCCCCCATCCCCGCCCCAACCGCCCGACCATCGGTGGCCTTCAGCCTCTCAGCCCCGAGGCTCTGGAACTCTATCCCCAGTGCCTTCGCCGCTTCCTCCCTTTCCTCCTTCAGAGCCGTCTCAAGGCCTTTCTCTTTGACCTTCAGCCTTCAGCTCCCCTCTCGACTCTCTACCCCCTCCTCGCTCCCTCCCTTCCCTCCCCTCACCCTGACCATTTCCCCCCTTCTCGCCCCCTCCCTCCCCTCCCCTCACCCTGACCATTTCCCCCTTTCTCGCCCCCTCCCTCCCCTCCCTCACCCTGACCATTTCCCCCCTCCTCACCCCCTCCCTTCCCTCCCCTCACCCTGACCATTCCCCCCCTCCTCGCCCCTTCCCTCCCCTCCCCCTGACCATTTCCCCCCTCCTCGCCCCCTCCCTCCCCTCCGCTCACTCTGACCATCTCCCCCCTCCTCAGGTCCTGACCCAACTGTGCAGCGCCTCGGGACGTCCTCCCGACGTGAAAGGTGCTCTATAGATGGAATCTTGTTGTTGTTGTTGTAGTATATCTAGTGTATCCAGCAACTTGTACATCTACTGTATCCATCAACTCGTGTATCTAGTATGTCTAGCAACTAGTACATCTAGCCTATCCAGCAACTAGTATATCTAATGTATCCAGCAACAATTATACTTAGAGTATCTAGCAACGAGTACATTTAGTGTACACAGCAACTAGTACATCTAGTTTATCTAACAACTAGTATACTTAATGTAACAAGCAACTGGAACATCTAATGTATCTAGCAACTTCTATACTTAGTGTATCTAGCAACTAGTACATCTACCGTATCCAGTAACTAGTACATCTAGTGTATCCAGCAACTAATATATCTAGTGTATCTAGCAACTAGTACATCTAGTGTATCTAGCCACTAGTATATCTAGAGTGTATCTAGTAACTAGTATACCTGGAGTGTTCTAAGTAACTAGTAGATATTGTGTATCAAGCAACTAATATATCTAGTGTATCTAGCAACTAGTGTATCTAGTGTAACTGGCAATTAGTATATTTGGTGTATCTTCTGAATAGCATCTCTAGTGTATCTAGCAGAAACTAGTTTATCTTGTGTATCTAGCACCTAGTAAATTTAGTATATCTAGCAACTGGTATATCTGGTGCATGCAGCAACCCGTATATCTAGTTAATCTAGCAACTTGTATATCTAGTGTACCTAGTGACCAATATACCTAGTATATCTAGCAACTAATACATTTAGTATATCTAGTGACTAGTATATCTAATGTGTGTAGCAGCAACGAGTATAATGGATAAAAATGGGCAGAAACGTGGCAGATGAGGTTTAATGTGGAGAAATGCGAAGTGCTGCATTTTGGTGGGAAGAATAAGGAGAGGCAGTGTAAGCTGATGGTACAATCATAAAGGGGGCAAATGAACAGGGAGACCTGGGGGTCCACATCAGCAAATCTCTGAAGGTGGCCGGACAGGTAATAAAGCTGTTAAAAAAGCAAACGGGATACTCGGCTTTATAAACAGGGGCATAGAATTCAACAGTCAGGAAGTTATGTTGAATATTTATAAGATGCTGTTAGGCCTCAGTTGGAGACTGCGTTCAGTTGTGGGCACCGCACTTTAGGAAAGATGTTGGGGCATTGGAGAGGGCACAAAGGAGGTTTACCCGATGGTACCAGGAATGAATGAAGCTATGAGAAGAGATTAGCGAAACTAGGATTATTCTCCCTGGAGCAGAGAAGATTAAGAGGGGATTTAATAGAGGTTTTCAAGATCATGAGAGGATTTGATAGGTTGAACCGGGAAAAACTGTTTCCATTGGCATGTGGGTCAGTAACCCGAGGACACCGATTTAAGAGAGTTGGTAAAAGAAACAGAGGGGAAGTGAGGAAAACATTTTCACCAGTGAGGTGTTGGGATCTGGAATGCATTACCTGAAAGGGTAGTGGGAGCCGATTCAAAACAACGTTTAAGAGAGAAGTAGATGGGTATTTGGGGAGGACAGGATTGCAGGGCTATGGAGAGAAAGGGGGCCGGTGGGATTGACTTGGAAGCTCTTTTAGGAGCCGGCGCAGACGCGATGGGCCGAATGGCCTCTTTCTGTGCTGTATGATTCTATGATTCTAGTATATCTAGTGTATCTAGCAACTCATATATCTGGGGTGTATCTAGTATCTGGCAACTAGTATATTTATTGTATCGAGCAACTTTTATATCTAGTGTATCTAGAGTCTAGTATATCTGGAGTGTATCTATAAACTAGAATATCTAGAGCGTATCCATTATATCAAGTGGTATATCTAGTGTATCTAGCAACTAGTATATCTAGTATATCTGAAGTGTATCTAGTAACTAGAGTGTACCTCACAATTAGTGTATGTAGAATATATGGAGTGTATCTAGTATATCTACTATATTTAGTAACTAGTATATCTAGTGTATCTGGAGTGTATATAGCAACTAGTATATTTGGCTCTGGAACTCCATCCCCCAGTGCTTTCCTCCTTTTCCTCCTTCAAGGCCGGTCTCAAGACCTTTCTCTTCAACCGTGCCTTCAGCTCGGTTTAACATCTCAGAGAAAAGCCGATCCTGACAATAATACACTGTACTGGGTACCAGCCGTGACTGTCAGCTCACAATCCTGACAGCGGGACTTGACTCAGAGGCGAGAGTGTTACGTGAGCCAGGCAGAGCCCCCAGTTATGTGATTTAACATTGAAGGGAATTGGTGAGTCGATCGCAGAGTGATCTAAAACATGTTGATATAATCTTAAAATTACAGCTGAGACAATTAGAAGTGAAATCTGATTACATTTTCCCACACAAAAAAAATTAAAAAAGAGACAGATCCTAAGGGGACCAAGTATATTTATTTTGTTCTGGTTGTTGTTGTTGAGGAGCAAAGGCATTCACTGACCTGAGGGAAAGGATTAAAAGATGTACCGTGAGTTAATCAAATGGTGGAAGAGGCTGGTTTGCCTGAATGGCTTGTTGAGCCAGATCCTTTGTTCCTTTACTTCTTTCCCAAGATACACACCTGTCCAAGTAGACATTAACATACCTGTGCCCTTCACACCTATCTGATCAATGTGCTGCTCTTAACATAAGGGCATATGCGAGTGTGCAAGCATACACCACTCCAGTTGTCAAACTGCAAGGAGTGTGGTCGCTCAGACAATAAGCCACATTACACAGTTCCAGCCCAGCCCTGACAGGCCACCCACAGCAGTGAGCTTAGCAGCAGCAGAGAACTGTATTGATGGGGGGAGCATATTAACGTGGATTGGGGAATGGTTAACGGATAGGAAACAAAGAGTAGGGATAAACGGGTCCTTTTCAGATTGGTGGGATGTGACTAGTGGAGTGCCACAAGGATCAGTCCTTGGGCCTCAGCTATTTACTATCTGCATCAACGATCTAGATGAGGACATCGCAGTTAATATATCTAAATTCGCGGATGACACAAAACTAGGAGGAAGTGTCAACACAGAGGACGACATTAAGAACAATGCAGCGAGACATAGATAGGTTAGGTGATTGGGCAGGTAGGTGGCAGATGAAGTGTAATGTAGGGAAGTGCGAAGTCATCCACCTGGGTAGCAAAAACAGTAGAGCGGGTTATTTTTTAGAAGGGGAGAGAATGGAACGTGGGTGTCCTTGTACATCAATCACAGAAAGTTAGTCTGCAGATGCAGCAGCAATTAGGAAGATGAACGGTATGTCAGCATTCATTGTGAAAGTTGTTAGAATTTGGAATGATCTGCCTGAAAGGGCAGTGAAGTCCGATTCGATAACAACTTTTAATAGAGAATTGGATAGGTATCGGGGAAGACGGGTTTGTGGGGTTATGGGGAGAAAGCTGGTGATTGGGGTTAGTGAAAGTGACGCTCTGTCAAAGAGCCGCACAGACTCAATGGGCTGAATGGCCTCCTTCTGTGCCGTAACATTCTATGAATCTATGATTAGAGTATAAAAGTAGGGAAGTCTTGCTGCAACTGTATAGGGCCCTGGTGAAACCACACCTGGAATACTGTGTGCAGTTTTGGTCTCCTTATTTAAGGAAGGATGTACTTGCCTTGGAGGGGGTGCAGCGTAGATTTACTCGGTTAGTGCCAGGGATGGAGGGGATGAGTTATGAGGATAGGATGACCAATTTGGGCCGATATTCTCTAGAATATAGAAGAATTAGAGGGGATCTTATAGAAACCTATAAGATCATCAAAGGGCATGATAGAGTAGATAGTGGGAGATTGTTTCCCCGGTTGGAGAAACTAAAATCAGGGGTCACAACCTGAAAATCAGAGACCAGTCCTTTCGCACTGAGTTGAGGAAGAACTTCTTCACTCAAATGGCAGTGAGTGTATGGAACTCACTACCCCAAAGGGCTGTTGACGCTCAGTCCTTGAACATATTCAAGACTGAGATAGATATGTTTCTTATTGCAAAAGGGATTAAGGGATATGGGGATAAGGCAGGTCAGGTTATTAGCTGGAGTTAGATTAGAAGATCAGCAATGATTGAATGGCGGGGCAGGCTCCAAGGGCCGAATGGCCTACTCCTGCTCCTACATGTTATGTCATGTTACTGTGCATGTTTATCCCTGAAACTTGCAGCTATACCTTTGAATCAGCGCTTACCACTTTAAGTTAAACTAGGAGCATATAAACGTACAATCAGGTGCACATATGCCACATACACTGCCATAATGGCCAAAATTTCCTGAGACATAACCGTAATATGATACTGTTGTTACAACATTGCATTAAAATATCTTCACACGTCTGTACAAAGGCTTCGGGCAAGTCCAGATCAGAGAGTGGACAGGGGATTCCAAGAGGGAACGGTGCAAACCACAAGGTAGAACAGTCTCAATATGTCTGAATCCTGGGAGACGGTTATTACTCCCATAATAATTCTTGCATTTGACACAGTCCGTGACAACATCTCAAAGCTTTTCACTGGGAATTGCTGTCCAAGATATTGCTGGTGACTTGGACAGCAAGGAATGAGGAATGGGAGAACCAGGACCCCAGTGGTAGGGTTAGTTGTAACCAAACGTCTCACAATCAGGAGAAGGGATAGATGCCCGAAGCCTTTCAATACCTGCGGAATCACAGCAGAAAGCACCCTGTCACACAGCTCCGGCCTGCGTCAGTGGGGCTCCAGTACACTGTACTCTAGTACACTGGCTGGTAAAACACTTCTCTGTTCAGGATCCTGCGTTTCATCTCCTTCCACAGCAGCGTCTGCTCCAGCCGCGATCCTCCCATTACACTTTTGTTCTCCTGCGCTCGTCTGGACAGGTAGGGCAGCACATCATCCACGGGGCCATATGGCATGTACTTGTACACTGGATACCCAGCCTGGCCTACAGAACACACACACTCAATCAGTAAATAATCACAAGCCTTGTGTTTGTTATAGGTGTTACCGCATTGTCAAATGTCTCAAGGTTTATAGTAGAATTTACTGTAAAGTGCAGTGACTGTGTATTAAATACACATTATTATGTGTATTTAATAATCCTTGCATTTGATATAGTGCCTTATCACGTCTTTGAGACATCTCAGAGCACTTCACCCGCAGGCCTGGCCAGGATTTTGGGGTCACTTACCCAGGGGGAAGCTGAGCTGATCGCACATGCCCAGCAGCTGCCCAAAGTAAACTTTCCGTTCACTCGGCTCCAAATTCAATTCCTGCATCCTGTGGGTGAGAGCAAATATCAGCCCCAAGGGCAGAAACACCCAGGTACGAAGGAGACCGAGAGAGAGAGACACACACACACACACACACGGGAAACCGAGAGAGAGAGAGACACACATACACAGGAGACCAGGAGACAGACAGACGCACACATACTCAGGAGACCGAGAGAGAGAGACACACATATACAGGAGACCGAGAGATAGACATAAAATATAGAGTCACTATATTTTACAGTATATTCTGTGAAGCAATTTGAGACCTCTTGAACACATGATAATGTGATTATCAAATGCAAGGATTATTATTATAATAAGAGGATGCAGGCAATGCCATGGTATCGGAGGAGAGGATAGCGAAATTGGACAAGATAAGAATAAATCGAGAGAAGAGAACGGTTGTCTTTCTGACTGGAGGGAAGTGCAGTGGTGTACCCCAGGGGTCGGTATTGGGACCATAGCATTGGAGAGGGTGCAGAGGGGATTGACCAGAATGGTACCAGGAATGAGGGACTTCAGTTATCAGGAGAGGCAGAGAAGTGAGGATTATTCTCCTTGGAGCAGAGAAGGTTAAGAAGAGACTTAATAGAAGTTTTCAAAATGATGAGGGGATTCGATAGGGTGAACAGGAGAAACTATTCCCACTGGCGGGTGGGTCGGTAACCCCAGGACACCGATTTAAAATAGTTGTTAAAATAAACAGAGGGGAGGGGAGGAGAAATGTTTTCACGCAGAGAGTTAGGATCTGGAATCATTGCCTGAAAGGCCGGTGGGAACCGATTCAATAACAACAACAATAAGATTACATTTGTATAGCACCTTTCACGTCGGGAGGATGTCCCAACAACTTTTAAGTGAGAAGTAGATAATTATTTGGGAGTACAAGTTGCAGGGCTATGGGAAGAGAGTGGGGGAGTGGGGTTGATCAGGGCTATGGGAAGAGAGTGGGGGAGTGGGGTTGATCAGGGCTATGGGAAGAGAGTGGGGGAGTGGGGTTGATCAGGGCTGTGGGGAGAGAGCGGGGGAGTGGGGTTGATCAGGGCTATGGGAAGAGAGTGGGGGAGTGGGGTTGATCAGGGCTGTGGGGAGAGAGCGGGGAGTGGGGTTGATCAGGGCTGTGGGGAGAGAGCGGGGGAGTGGGGTTGATCTGGGCTGTGGGGAGAGAGCCGGGGGGGTTGATCAGGGCTGTGGGGAGAGAGCGGGGGAGTGGGGTTGATCAGGGCTGTGGGGAGAGAGCGGGGGAGTGGGGTTGATCAGGGCTATGGGGAGAGAGCGGGGGAGTGGGGTTGATCAGGGCTGTGGGGAGAGAGCGGGGGAGTGGGGTTAACTTGGAAGCTCTTTTTAAAGAGCCGACACAAACATGATGGGCCGAATGGCCTTTCTGTCTTGTAAAATTCTATGATTCTATAGAGAGGAAGAGACAAACACACAGCAAGGGGAGGGGAGGAGTGTCAGAGAGAGACACATACATAAACCTGACGTTTGCGGCCCCGTGCACCCATTGTCCACACAGTGATGAGCAGAGACAACAGCAACACCCCCCCACCCCCACCCCACCGACTTGCTGCTGCCCCTCAGTCCTGCCACACCCCCAAGCACACACACTTTACGGTTCAGCACCTCCTCAGAGTAAAGGTCACAGATTCTTCATTGTGTGAAGCCACCATCACACTGGGCTTCCTGGTTGATTTGATTTCCTCTAGGATATAGTTCAGGCATCTGGAAGCAGAGACACAGGTTAGAACCAAGGCCACAGGTCAGGATGCAATGACACCAGAGAACAGGTCAAAATACATAGAATTACAGAGATTTAATATAATAATAATAATCCTTGCATTTGATATAGTGCTTTTCACGTCAGGAGGATGTCCCAAAGCGCTTCACAGAATATACAACAACAACAACAACAAGATTCCATTTATAAAGCGCCTTTCACGTCAGGAGGACGTCACAAGGCGCTGCACAGTTGGGTCATGACCCGAGCAGGGGGGAAATGGTCAGGGTGAGGGGAGGGAAGGGAGGGAGCGAGGAGGGGTTAGAGAGTCGAGAGGGGAGCTGAAGGCTCGGTCAAAGAGATACTGTAAAGTGAATTGACTGTATATTTGTGGGCGAACGCAGCAGCCAATTGCGCACAGCAATGTCCCACAAACAGTCGTAGATTGAAAATGACCAATTTATTATTGTTTTTGGTTTTGGAGGGATTATTATTAGGCTCTGTGTGGAGTAAGGAAACTTGCCCGAGGTTTCGCCTGGAATTGAACTCAGGTCTCTCACTTGCAAAGTGAGTGCTCTAATCACTGAGCTACAGGACTCCACAAAAGACCAAAACAGGCCATTTGGCCCAATAAGTTTGTGCTGGTAGAATCTGAATTGTGAGCCCCTCTTTAGTCCACATAAGCCTCTATATAATCCTCATCTCCTCTCCTGTTCCCCACAGCTCCTGGCAGTGAGTTCCACCAAACTGCATACAGAAATTTGTAGAATCATCAAATTGCACAGAAGGAGGCCATTCAACCCATAGTGCTTGTGCTGGTTCTTTGAAAGAGTTACCAACTAAATGTTTGACATTTGTATATATTCATCCTAAATCTCATTTAGATCTGACACTAACTACCTGGTATCTATAGCCCCTCATTTTGGACTCACCAACAGGGGAAATATTCCATTCATGTACAACTTATCAAATCCTTCCATAATTTTATTAACACCTCGATCAGGTCCTCTCTCTAAGCCTCATCTCCAGAGAAAAAAAGCTGCAACCTGACTAATCTTTCTTGTTAAGAGTATGCATTCATCCCTGCTAGCACCATTCACTGCACTTCTCTTCTCTCTCCATTGCCACATAATCGTCCTTGGAGCTTTGTGATAAGAACAAATTGTATTTAAAATCTAGTCTAACCAAGGTTTTATACAAATTTAATTTATATAAATAAACTTTAAATTATTTCTCTACTTTTGTCCTCTATTCGTGAATATAAAGCTAAGGACTCTATTTGCAATCATTATGGTCTTGTCCACCTCTATTGCTGTGCTGTCCTGTGAATCTAGGACTGTGCTGTCCTGTGAAACTTCCAGGCAGAGGGCGAAACCTTCGGCAAGTTTCCTTACTCCACACAGAGCCTAATAATAATCCCTCCAAAACAAAAACAATAATAAATTGGTCATTTTCAATCTACGACTGTTTGTGGGACATTGCTGTGCGCAATTGGCTGCCGCGTTCGCCCACAAATATACAGTCAATTCACTTTACAGTCTATTCTGTGAAGCGCTTTGGGACGTCCTCCCGACGTGAAAAGCGCTATATCAAATGCAAGGATTATTATTATTATCTAAATTATGTATCCCTCTTAAATTTACACCATTGATAGACATCTTCTTTATTCCTTCTACTAAAACGTTAGTTCCCATTTCTTTATATTATAGATGATTTACCACCGATCAGCCCATTCTGCAAGCTTGGTTATACCTTCTTGCGTCCAATAATAATAATAATCCTTGCATTTGATACAAGTGCCATTCACTTCAGGAGGACATCTCAAAGCACTTCACAAATTATACTGCAGAGTCGCTGTGTATTTCCTAGGTGAAAGTAGCAGCAAATTTATGCAATGTCCCACAAACATCCAATTTTATTTGGGGGATTGTTGGCCAGGACTCCAGGAAAAACTCCCTTCTCCTTTTGGATAGTGGCATCGGATCTTTGAACAAAGACTGAGCCTCGATTTAAAATCTCATCGAAGCATGGCACCTCCAACACTGCAGCGCCCACCACTGCCATTGCTTCTCAAATGGTTTCTCCTCCTGGCCTCACATGGTTACTTGCGGTGTATCCCAAAGCTTGTCCCTCTCCGTTTCCTCATTTACATGCTCCATCTTGGTGATATGAACTGTAGACATGCGCTCAACTTCCACATGCATGCGTTTGACACCCAAATCCACTTTTCTCCTCTAGCCACGACCCCAGGTCCACATTGTTCTCCCCGGCTCAGAATTAAGCTCTGCTACTGTTAAGCATTTACATAGCATCCTTCATGTGGGGGAGCTTCTCAACGCTCTTAAAGGAAACTAAGAATGCTAATAAAGGGGAAAGGGACAAAACAATGGAGCTTCTTAATCCAAGAAAGTCTGGCGAATGAGATGTGGGACCTGGAAGGGGGACAGATTGGATATTAGTAGCATCACAGAGATATTGTGGAATGATCCCAATCAATGGGATAGATGTTTAGGAGGGACCATATCAGGAGCAGTGGAAGTGGTTTAGCTGTATATAATTTATACATTCCAGTTTTGAGGCACAAATAGGCAGCCACAGAATCACTTTGGGTAGAATTAATAGATGGCAACAGAAGTAAACTATCATTGGGGTTTTGCTATAGACCCCCCAGGCCAGGGTGATAGGCTTGATCTGGAATTGTGGGATGAGATAAGGAAGGGACCAACCATAGTCGGGACCAAAATGTGTCTACTGGCAAGATAGGGAAGGAATTTCTAGAGTTAAAGCAAGACTGTTTTATGACTCAGTTTGTAAAGGAGCCAAGAAGGGGAAATAACATCTTGAACAAAACACAAAATACTGCAGATGCTGGAATCTGAAACAAAAACAGAGAGAGCTGGGAAAACCCAGCAGGTCAGGCAGCATCTATAGAGAAAGGAAAATAACATCTTGGATTTGTTTATGAGTAACTGGGACGACCAAATATCCAACACAAAGATGGGTGAGGGATTAAGCAACAGGGATCATAACATTATCACATTTGGTATTACACAGATTGGTGAGATAATAATAACACAAAAAAAATTGCCAAATTTTAAGACCAATTTTATGCGATTGAGAAGTCTTGTCAGAGTGGGCCTGGCAGGTTTAAACATGGCTCAGGGAGCAGAGGAACTATGGACCTCATTCAAGGAGTGATTCGGAATGCAATGGACCCATGCATAATAATAATAATCCTTGCATTTGGTATAGCACTTTTCACGTTGGGAGGACGTCCCAAAGCACTTCACAGAACACACTGTAAAGTGAATTGACTGTATATTTGTGGGCGAACGCGGCAGCCAATTGCGCACAGCAATGTCCCACAAACAGTCGGAGATTGAAAATGACCAATTTATTATTGTTTTTGGTTTTGGAGGGATTATTATTAGGCTCTGTGTGGAGTAAGGAAACTTGCCCAAGGTTTCGCCCTCTGCCTGGGATTGAACTCAGGTCTCTCGCTTGCAAAGCGAGTGCTCTAACCACTGAGCCACAGGACTCCACAACAAAGTGAATTGACTGTATATTTGTGGGCGAACGCGGCAGCCAATTGCGCACAGCAATAGTAAACATACCAAGTTTAAAGGCTCTCCTGCCCGGTTGGATGGGGCTACAAAACAACTCATAAAGACAAAAAATAGGGGAAAAAGGCACTTAAGGCCATGAAGGAAAATGACACAGAGGAAAGATGGACTCATTACTAGAAGACATGCCAGGATTGTAAGAAAGGCATCAGAATGGTAAAGAAATTTTTGAACTGAACCTGGCAAGAGCTGTGAAGTTTAACAATTAAAAGTTTTTAGTTACATTAAGAGAAAAAGATAAATGGAGCATGGAATAGGGCCAGGAAGGTGGGATTGGGTGAGGATATGACAAATGATGCTATACAAGCCACAGAAGCACAAAATATTTTTTCTGCCTCAGTTTTTAGTAAAGAGATGGGCAATTTATTGGATCTGGAATGAGAACTCAGTGGTGTTGCAGGGGTAAGTTGTGACACTATACATATCACTACCAGCATGGCTGCCGAACAACTGTGGAAACTTTAAGGTAAATAAATCCAAAGGGGCGGATAAATTGCATCTGAAGATCCTTAAGAAACTAAGGGAGAAAATTGCAGAAACTCTGGCACAAATCTTTCAGAAATCAGTGGCTACTGGAGACGTGCCGGGAACTGGAGAAAGACCGATGTTACTCCTATTTTTAAAAAAGGTAGAAAAAGTGACCCAGGAAATTTCAGTAAGGCCTTTGATACAGTTCATGAAAGGCTGGCATCGAAAATAAAGAAAGCGGGAATCAGTGGAAGTATCTTACAATGGATACATAATTGGCTGACCGATAGAACCCAGAGGGTGCGGGAACAGGGAATGTCCTCAGGCTGGGAGAATGGTACCAGTGGAGCTCCACAGGGAGTTATTTTGGGATCTCTTTTATTTAACATCTTCATAAATGAGCTTTATAAATCACTGGTGCGACTGCACTTGGAATACTGTGTTCTGTGGTCACCGCAAAATATAAAGAATACTGCAGCAATTGAGAGAATACAGGTTATAGTCTGGGACACATGTCAAGCGACTATCAGGATGGTGGAAGGGGAACTAAATGGACCTTGGTCTTCTTTCACCAGCAAATCCTTATGTTCCTTGTCGTCGTTTTATCCTATTCTCTAAGCTTACTGTGTTCATTTCTGTTTCCTTCTGTTATCCGTTTTGTAATTTTCATACATTTTGCCTTAGATTCAGTTTGATCCTCACCTCCTTATTCATCCTTGACATCTCATTAATGGATATCTTTCCTTTATGTCTCAATGGAATAGATTTGTGCTGTATATTTTAAATGCTTCCCATTGTTACTCAAAGACTTTATTTGGTTGTTTTTTTTCCACTTTATCTGAGCTTGTTCTTTCCTCATTCCATTGTGGTTACCTTTGTTCCAGTCTAGTAACTCAGTTTTTATCTATTACCATTCTAATAAGTCAAAATTACTGCTCCCCAAGTGTTCTATGTTTAGATCCCTTACCTGCTCTGGCTCATTAATCATAACTAGATTATTTTTCTGTTTCTACCTCAGCCGTACTTGCCTTCTTGTTGAAGTTTCTGCATATTGGCCCAGAAAAGAGTCCTACACATCATACACAAACTCTTTCTCCTCACCTCCTGCACTGTGTATTTGCCAATCTGATCTGAGGCTAATTGAAGATAATCATTTTATTGTTTTTGGTTCTCACTGTGCAGTTGTCTGTTTTACACCCATAATAGTCAAAATCCCTTTCTTATAAAATACTCCATATTACAGTGTGTTTAGAAAAGTTAGGGTCAGGGAAAAGGTAGCCACCGTGAGCAGATTTTCCATGATTGCTATTATAATTATGCTATTTATACTTCAATCCACGACTGTTTGTGGGACACTGCTCTGCGCAATTGGCTGCCGCATTTCGCCCACAAAATATACAGTCACCACACTTTACAGTGCATCCTGTGAAGCGCTTTGAGACGTCTCAAAGACATGATAAGGCGCTATATTAAATTCAACGATATTATTATCATTATCTATTATTCTATTACGCTACAAATATCTATTTATAAACGCTATTATCCATTATTTTATCACTCAAAACTGAGTGCTTTTGTTTGAGTCCTATATAAAGGGGAAGACTTGTGAGAGCCTCAATCGAACAGAGGAAGGAGGAGTGAGGAAGGAACAGAGTGAGGAGGAACATTGAGAATTCTGTTTGGGAATTAGGTGAGAGTGGGAATTATTCAGCAAGAGAGCTACAAGAGAGCTACCAGAGAGCTAGAGAGCTACCAGAGAGCTAGGGAGCTACCAGAGAGTTAGGGAGCTACCAGAGAGCTAGAGAGCTACCAGAGAGCTAGGGAGCTACCAGAGAGCTAGGGAGCTACCAGAGAGCTAGAGAGCTACCAGAGAGCCAGGGAGCTACCAGAGAGCTGGAGAGCTACCAGAGAGCTAGGGAGCTACCAGAGAGCTAGGGAGCTACCAGAGAGCTAGAGAGCTACCAGAGAGCTGGAGAGCTACAAGAGAGCTAGGGAGCTACCAGAGAGCTAGGGAGCTACCAGAGAGCTAGAGAGCTACCAGAGAGCTAGGGAGCTACCAGAGAGCTAGAGAGCTACCAGAGAGCTAGGGAGCTACCAGAGAGCTACCAGAGAGCTAGGGAGCTACCAGAGAGCTAGAGAGCTACCAGAGAGCCAGGGAGCTACCAGAGAGCTAGAGAGCTACCAGTGAAGAGGAACAGAGTGAAATTCTGTTTGGGAATTCGGTGAGAGTGGGAATTTGGTGCAGGTGAGAACTTGTAAAGGAGAAATAAAACCCCCAAGGGCCTGCATAAAAAGGTCACATTTCTGTGGCAGTAGGTGTTGAGTAGGCATTTAATATATAAGGAGTGTGAGCAAGGGAATAAAAGATGTGAAATTACTTGTTTGTATTTATTTACCCCAAAATTATTGAGATATTTTACAAAACATGTCTGAAAGCCTGGCAGGGCAGCTGAGACCCATTCCATGTACACTGTGTGCCAAATGGAAACTCCAGGGTGGTTCATGTGTTCTGGACAAACACATGTGTAGGAAGTGCCTCCGGCTACTTGAGCTTGAGCTCAGGGTCACTGAGCTTGAGGAGAGACTAGTCACTACATAGAAATGGGAAGCAGAAGAATTCATGGATCAAATTTTCAGGAGGTGGTCACCCCACAGCCACAGAGGGTTCAAGAGATGGTCACCCCAGTCACAGGGAGTTCAGGAGGTGGTCACCCCACAGCCACAGGGAGTTCAGGAGGTGGTAACCCCACAGCCACAAAGGGCTCAGAAGAAGGGTGAGTGGGTGACCATCCGACGTGGAGCAAAATAAGAACAGGCAGTACAGAAATCCCCAAAGAGCATGGCACTCAGAAACCAGTTCTCGGTACTGGATACCGGTGAGGACTCCTCTGGCGAGAAGAGTAAAAGGTAATGGATGTTCAGGGAGACAAGGGGAAAAACGCCAACGCTGTTGTTATCGGGGATACAACAGTTAAAGGGATAGACAGGCGTTTCTGCCATAAAAGCCTGGTATGCTGCCTCCCTGGGTCCGGGGTGCAGGACGTCACAGAACGGGTGCAAAATATCCTACAGGGGAAGGGGAAAATCTGGAAGTTGTGGTCCATGTCCTGATCCACGATGTAGGTGATAAAAGGGCTGAGACCCTACAGGGAGAATATCAGAAGCTTGGGAAGAAGCTAAAGAGCAGGAGGACCTCAATGGTGGTGATCTCGGGATCACTCCCAATGCCTTATGCAAGTGAATACCAAACCGGGAGGATCAACCACATGAATGCCTGGCTGAGAAATGGTGCAGGAAGGAGGACTTCAGGTTTCTAAACCACTGGGACCATTTCTGAGGCAGATGGGACCTGTAGACGAGGGATGGGTTACACCTGAGCAGGGCTGGGGCCAATGTCATTGCAACAAGGATAACAACAACAACAACAAGATTCCATTTATAAAGCTGTGGGGAAGCGTTTAAACTGATTTTGAGGAGGGATGGGGTCAGAATGTAGCATCAGGGAGGGGAAACGAGTTACATAGCGGATGATGAGAGACAAATAGAAATGAAACAAGGAATAGTCCAGCAAAAAGTGGAAAGAGACGGGGAGAAATGTAGAGCGGATTAAGCCGGTTTGGAGTGCATGTGTGTAAAGGACAGAGAGTGACCAATAAGCTTGGTGAGCTGTGGCTCAAGTTGCCACATGGGGCTATGATGTAGTGGCAATTACGGAGACTTGGCTCAAGCAAGGACAGGAATGGGAGCTGAATATTCCTGGCTACACCTATTCAGGAGGATAGGGAAGGAAAAAAGGAGGAGGGGGGCAATACTCATTAAGGTCACAGTCCTGGAAAAGGACGATGTGTTAGAGGGTCCAAAAACTGAATCTATTTGGTTAGAGTTACGGAGCAGAAAAGGAGCTGTTACTCTGTTTGGTATTTACTGTAGACCTCCAAATAGTGGGAAGGAGATAGATGGGGTAGGGATGGGGTCAAGGGAGCAGGTGGTGGGTTTCATATGGGAAATGGTGAAGGTGAACAAAGAGGGGGAGACAGGGTCAAAAGTGTGGAGGGAGGGATGGGGGGGCAGGAAGGGGAGTGAGAGGGGGGAGGGGGTGGCTGTAGAGGGTGTAGGGGTGGCTGTAGAGGGTGAAGCGGTGGCTGTAATGGGGGTAGGGTTGGCTGTAGTGGGGGTAGGGGTGGCTGTAGTGGGGGTAGGGGTGGCTGTAGTGGGGGTAGGGATGGCTGTAGAGGGGGTAGAGGAAGCAGAGTGGATCCCTTCGACTTTGGGCTGGATGAAATCCATCATGTCACATTTGGTGCTGGAGAAGAGGATGGCAGAGACATAGGAGGGTAGACGGAGGAGTTGGTTAATGGTAAAAAAGAGGAGTTTGGGGTTGTCCTTAGCTTCCAAGATGATTTTGGAGTAAAATGCAGAACAATAGTTCTGGGGGTTCCTGGCATCGACCTGTGAGATTCTCACCGTTCTCCATCTCCTTCCTCAGAGCAGCTTTTAGTGTCAAAAGCACCAGAGAGGTTAATTATCTGCAGGACCATCACTCCAGTTTTCGCCACATTGGCAAGACAATTACCTCTCCTTAATTTGTTTCCCCTTAAATTTGCACCGCTGCACTGCGGAATGGTTAGCATCGTGGCTTGAGGGTTAAACATCCCCTCCCGCTCCTCCAGCTCTCTCTCTCACACACACTCACTCACTTGTGGAACATGTCTGTAGTAGCATTGTAGCCGTCATTAATGGGATCCTCATATCCGATCTCCCTGGACCGCTTCCTCTCCTGCAGCATGTACGCCCCCCGCACCAGCTTCCCGCCAAAGTACCAGCCTTCCCGCTTCGACAGCTCCATGTCCAGGGTCACATTATCGTACGCTTCCTGCAGACCACGTCACCAGCTGTCAAGAGCTCTCCCCGGGCAGCACCGCCTCCCCATTGCCAGGTAATCCCCCCCCTCCCCGGGCAGCCCCCCCTCTCCCCCTCCCCGGGCAGCCCCCCCTCTCCCCCTCCCCGGGCAGCCCCCCTCTCCCTCCCCGGGCAGCCCCCCTCTCCCCCTCCCCGGGCAGCCCCCCCTCCCCCTCCCCGGGCAGCCCCCTCTCCCCTCCCCGGGCAGCCCCCCTCTCCCCCTCCCCGGGCAGCCCCCCTCTCCCCTCCCCGGGCAGCCCCCCTCTCCCCCTCCCCGGGCAGCCCCCCCTTCCCCCTCCCCGGGCAGCCCCCCTGTCCCCCTCCCCGGGCAGCCCCCCCCTCCCCCTCCCCGGCAGCCCCCCTCCCCCTCCCCGGGCAGCCCCCCTCTCCCCCTCCCCGGGCAGCCCCCCCTCTCCCCTCCCCGGGCAGCCCCCCTCTCCCCCTCCCCGGGCAGCCCCCCTCCCCCTCCCCGGGCAGCCCCCCCTCCCCCTCCCCGGGCAGCCCCCCTCTCCCCTCCCCGGGCAGCCCCCCCTGTCCCCCTCCCCGGGCAGCCCCCCCTGTCCCCTCCCCGGGCAGCCCCCCTCCCCCTCCCCGGCAGCCCCCCCTCCCCTCCCCGGGCAGCCCCCCCTCCCCCTCCCGGGCAGCCCCCCCTCCCCCTCCCCGGGCAGCCCCCCCTCCCCCTCCCCGGGCAGCCCCCCCTCCCCCTCCCGGGCAGCCCCCCCTCCCCTCCCCGGGCAGCCCCCCCTCCCCCTCCCCGGGCAGCCCCCCCCTCCCCTCCCCGGGCAGCCCCCCCCCTCCCCTCCCCGGGCAGCCCCCCCTCCCCCTCCCCGGGCAGCCCCCCTCCCCCTCCCCGGGCAGCCCCCCCTCCCCTCCCCGGGCAGCCCCCCCTCCCCTCCCCGGGCAGCCCCCCTCCCCTCCCCGGGCAGCCCCCCTCCCCCTCCCCGGGCAGCCCCCCCTCCCCTCCCCGGGCAGCCCCCCCTCCCCTCCCCGGGCAGCCCCCCCTCCCCTCCCCGGGCAGCCCCCTCCCCCCTCCCGGGCAGCCCCCCTCCCCTCCCCGGGCAGCCCCCCCTCCCCTCCCCGGGCAGCCCCCTCCCCTCCCCG